ACCTCTAGTTATAACAAATTATGGCATTATTATGTACTTAGTTGTTTTGGCATTTTTCTCTTCCATAGTTAATTTTGCATTTACATATGTACTAACTATTAATTAAATCATTTTGAATAATATTCATTTTATTTTTAGTAMCTATATTTTTAAGATATAAAACTATTTTTAAGTTTTATATTAATGCTACCTAAGACTAATTCATAATTGTATTAATAATAACTATTTGTTTTTACCTAAATTTATAATCAGTTGTTGAAAAATCAATTGACATAATCCAGTTAAGTGGAATCATAATATTTTTTACAAACTATTGTAAAATAATAATAATAATTCAAGAAAAGTGTACAATAAAATATTATTTTCATTTTTTTGTCTAATATTTGGTTCTATTTTTAATAGCTTATTTAACACTGGCTACCAGTAGGATTTTTGATGATGAGCCTCCAACTATTCCATTTTTTCCAATAGTAAATATACTGTTTATATTATTTGTATACAAAAGATATACAATTTAGTTTAATTTATGCATTAACACCCCTCTCACTTTCATAGACCTGGCGTCGCCACTATTTGTTAATCACTATTCATTACATAGTGATGAGATATAATATATAAATTACACAATTAATAGAATAAAATTAAGAATTTCAGCATTTACTGAGTACAAATAGTAAAACCTAAGTTTACTTAGTGAAGGAAGAGAGGGCTCGACAGAGAGCTGCGGTACTAGGATGACGGATCCATCATGAACGGGTTTCTAGAGTGACGGGCTGCGGCCAGCTCGCGAAAAGGTCTCCAGAAGGTGATGTCTAGGATAATGGGCTAAGGCCGGTCTGAGAAGACAATCGGGCGAACGAGATGTCCAGGGTGGTGGACTCAGATCAACCTGCAAAGACATCGATCATTGTTTATTGCACTATAATTTATATAAAGGGATAAGCAAGGAAATCCCTATTCAAGTTTTTAAATAAGGTTGTCACGGTAGGAAAGGGATATTCGAATATATACCAAGCAAATGAGGAAAGGATACCATTTTCTGCTGTGCAAAACTCAAATTTGTATATATTTATTTGTTTAAATAAACGATGCCACATGTGGGCTAAGCAATGTGAAAACAGTACGGCTCCCATGTGGTGATTTATAATGGAAAAAAAAAGGTTTACTTAGTGATCGGGCATTTACGGTAACATATATATATAAATATTAATTCTACCCTTAATGCTAATATATTACATACCAACTAGAAATTATTTGCTCAAATAATTGTTCTTCGGTTTTCTATAATCTTAGTTGTGACTTGTCCAAAAAGTAACAGGTGGAACCAGATTCTTACGGGGCATCCCGCAATAGATTCCCAAGTTGTTGCTATTTGTTTTCATATTTTTCAGTACACAAATCTGTGGATGCTATAATTGTGTATACATTTTTTGGGTAGATAAGGAATACATCAAATTGATGATTATTTTACTTTTAAATGTGCTAAATATTTAAGACAAGTGCAATGTAACAAAAAACTTAAACACAATTACCTATTTTTTGAATGTTAGTTGGCCCCTGGGTCCTGACCCCATTGCACGCCTCATAAAAACAAAATGATAATTGCTTGGTCTCTTGTTTCTAGTGCTGATTAGTGATTTCCATGTGTGTATAATCTATAAAAGTGTCGATATCCTGAGTATTTTATTAAAATATTACATAAGATATACACACAATTACCTGCAAGGATAATTATCCTATTTCTGCCTATATGTTAAACATTAGTTATAATAACAAAATTTAGGTCTTTCCGAGACACTACAACTGGGCATTCTCTTGTACACTTTTGCACTGTGGTGCACACCGCAATGAATAACTAAACTGGTTTAACCATTCAGGTAACGATAATCACCACATCCTACAACTTAAGTTATGATATTAACAAGTATACAATCTATAAAGATGTGAATATGCTATGTACTGTATATAATATTACATCACTCTTCTTATTCCCGCACAAATATTCTTCAATCTTTACATGATCAAGGAATCTTACAAATTCAATCAGCCAAATATTTATAGCGGCATTAACTTGTACCTATAATAATATAGACACATTGAAAATAGACGAATATTATATGCATAGGTATATTAATAATGAATAAATTATTTATAATACATAAAATTATAGGTTTAATTTAATCCGAGTTAATCTGAACTTAAATTATGATTCAATGCATGTTACGAATAAACATTAAATATTATTTTATGTTTTTGTCCACATATTTATATGTATTATTAATATATAAATATGTAATTATTACTTATACTAAGTTATGCAAAAACAAATATATATGTATTGATAATACTGGATAAGATATAGTAGATTTTAAATGTAATTATTTTCTCTTGAAAAATATATTACCTTTTTTTAAATTTGTATGTGAATTAAGCCAATAATATAATAATTTCACATATAAACACAGAGAAAATTTTATACTAGTGGAATATTTAAAAACTTCCACCTCAATTGTACAACTTTTTATTTAATTTTAATAGTCTATCAAACTAACCAAAAATCCGATATTACAGGAGAAATAATTGAAAATGTTATTGAATTAAAAATTAGTACCTACCTAAATCATGTAACTTTTCTGATTATTTATATATTATGTCTTATATTGTTAAATTAATAATGTTGTATTAGGTAAAATAATTTAATATTTTTTTGATTTGATAACTAGAATAGAAATTAATGCTCTAGAATAGTTCTGAACTGGTATTATTAAAATTGCAACCTGTATATAATATATCATAGGTACCAATATCAAGTGGGTGAACTAGAGGTATATGTTTAACTTAGAGCAAAATTATATTTTGACATTTTACTTTCGTAGCAAATACTTATCATTTAAATAATATAAATCAAATATTCTGTTGTTTATTTTGACAATGTTTAAAATTACTTATCAAAGTTACTTTATTAGAGCATTAGGTTTAAAACATGAGTATTGATTTTTGTTGATTAATTGTATGTTTAATATCTTGTGTATTGTTCTTGTTAATGTCTAAAAAAAAAAAAACTTATACTTATTAAATAGGATGTATAACACAAATGTTAATGATAAAAATATGTTTTTATTTATGTGAAATTTAGTAATATATAATAAAAATTATTATAACCCTGCATACATTTCTTCTGTAAATTAAATTTTAAATATATAGTCCAATTAAAACCACTATAATTAAACTAAACAATTAAAAGACTAGTATTATTATTATAGTTTATAAAAAACTTAAAGTCAATCACAATTTATTTTATTATTTACATAAAAAAAATTGTATCTATTTTATTTTATAAAGTTATTTACTAGTTACAAGATAGGTAAGTCATTAAATTACCCAACACAAGAATGTTAATATTTGTATTGTGTATATCAGTTAGTTATTATTGTTTTATACCTACCTATTCAAAATAACATGAATGTGATTAGTTTTTAATTTATATAATTGTTAAATATTATAGGTAATACTTGAACAAGAATGTTGTTACATTTTTATAGATGTTATTAAATATATACAAAATATATTTGTTAAACTCAAAAAATTGTTATTTTTTTTTTATAGTTCTCCAAGTTGGTTAAAGGGCAAGTACATTAACTGTATATTAAATTGTTGACATATGACTAGGAAAGCAGATTAATAATAAATAAAAAACATAGAAGAAAAATGTGTATGTTCAATTATAATAAAAATCACTAAAACAACCTTTAACTAAAAAAACTGTTGTGTATAAAATGAACCTAGATTAATAAATTTTAATGTGAGGTACTTATTTCTAACATAATTTCAAAACTATCATCAAGATAGTCCATTTGACAGTATGCATACGTTGAGTATTGATACAAAAATATAGATTAAATATTATACTTAAAATATTTATGAAACACCAAAACTAACACAAACGAATAAAAACTATACCATGTGAAGACAATCAGAAGATTGTGTGAAAATATAGTAAACAAAATTAGGTATACATACATCAGATAATATGTTAACATTATCATCATGTCTATAAGACATATGAGTACTATGAGTATTCACATTATGTAATTAAAAATCATGAATGGCGTAAGATGCCAATACTATAAACATGTAATATACTATATAAAATATTAATAATACATAAATATATTGATGTTTACCTTCATTATTCAACGAAAGTTCTGATGAAAAGCAAGTTGAATCACTATAATCACTTTATAAGATATAGCTGCGTTTCAGCCACCGTGGATAATGACATCCACATATAACAGCATCTGAAATAAGAATAGAAATTTTGAGGTATGATTTTCATGATTTKAACCAATTTTATTCAACAGTGTTGCCAAACTTGGTATTATTTCTCACTTAACTTACATTTTTAACTTCTTTTCACACTAAAACAGTTTTTATAATTCATATAAAGATAGGTAGGTATCAACTTGTATACAGTGTTGGGTAGTAACGTAACGAATGTAATGCGTTACTTATTTTCATTAGAATTATTTCCAAGTAACAAAAATGTAATGGAAATTACTTTTGATAAGTAATTTCTATTGAATAACTCGTTACAGTTTCAAATTATTAAGTACCTATACCTTTTGAAAATTGAAAAAATAATATGTCTATAATGCGGGTATTATTATGTTTAACAATCTAATATAGTAATATACTATATATATATTTATTAAAGCTCCTTATACAGCTGATCTGACAATTTTGAATTCAATGACATTAGTAAAGAATATTATTAAATGCAACAAAGCTTTACCATGCAGTGCTTCTGTAGAGCGATTAATTAGTGTTTCAGGGGACATTTATTCTAAAAAAAGGTCCCGTATGAGTGACAAAAACTTTGAAGATACAGTATTGGGTAAAGTTAATTTAAAACATAAATAAATATAAAATAATAATATTCTATTATATTGATTATAGTAAATTGATTTCTTTTTCAAATTCTATTTAGTATAGGTAATGTATTTTTTATAACATTATTGCTAGGCACAATGATAATATTGTTAAGAAATATAAAAATAATATTATATTTTTTGTAACGAGAAAGTAATGAGTTACTTTTCAATTTGAAAAGTCATTTCATTACAATTTTATTAGAGTAACAAATAAAGTAACTTTATTACTTTTTATAGTTAATTTACCCAACACTGCTAGTATATCCTAATATATTTTGTGTAAGTATAATTTTTTAAATATTATACAATATGTATTTTCCCTATAATATAGATAGCAGCAAATTAGTCATTAGCCAGTAAATAAGAATTCAAATTGTGTTTTTTTTTTTTTTAAAACTACCCTAACCAATGCAACAGCGCTTATAAAAAGAATTTTTGATAAAGTTGATACTTTAAATTAGTCCTTAAAAGGAAGGGATGGTACACATTTATTGACATTTTATGGTGTATTTATTGTTCCTAGAAAAATTATTTTATTATAATATAAATGAGGTTTGCATAGCTAGATAGGTATAAGATATCCAATTGATGTTAGATGTTCTCTTACAAGTATTGATAATTTTAATAATATAATAATAAATACATGGAAATTGATTTTTTTAATTTATTGTTATAGACTTTATACTTATAGTAACATATACTATTCATATTAGTCATTGACCTATTAATTTCTAGTTTGTTTTGTTGTGAATTATAATTCTTTATTATCTTTACGATATAAACTACATTAACTTTGAAAAAGTTTTATAATTTTTTTTTATTAAATATAGGTAGGTGTTAACATTTAAAATACCATAGTTGATTTATATTTATTATGTAACAAAATAAATGTGAAAACTTTAGGAGTATTAATTATATGTGGA